TTGCCCCCCCCCCCCCCAGTGACCTACCGGTCACCTACCGGTTTTCAGGGTCACCGCCGAAGCCGACCGGCTGGCTCCAGCGTCGTTCCTGGCTGCCACGGAGATCCGGTACTCCGTGCCGCACCGGAGGGGCGCGATGGTGCAGCCACTGAGCGTCGTGCTGCAGCTCAGCTCCGAGCTGTCGCCCACAGCCACCGCGGTGTAGTTGAAAGCTCCTTCCGTCGGGGCCCATGAGACAGACGCCTTCAGAGCCCCGCTATCGAAAGAGACTCCAATGTCTGCAGGAGCACGAGGACCTGCGTTTTTGAGAAACAGTTGCGATCTTGCAGTAGCCTCAAGAACCCGAGTGAGATTTGGCCTAACAAGTGCTTGGATAGAAGGATTCTCGGGCAGAGAGGGGCAGAGGGAGCGTCTACACCAGGCTGGGGGAGGGAAGAGCCATGTCCTAGAGGCGGCTGGTTTCCCAGAGAACTTCCTTTGCGTTTGTGTCCCCGTGTTTTAAGTTTTTAGAGACTTTGGGTTTATTTAGCCTGACTTTGCTGGGGCTGCTGTAACAAAGTATCACATATTAGGTGGCTGAAACAACAGAAATGTATTATCTCGCAGTCCTGGAGGCTGGAAGCCTAAAATCAAGGTGTTGGCAGGGTGGGTTCCTTCTGAGGACTTTGAGAAAGGATCCGTTTCTCCTTAGCTTGTAGATAGATGGTAGAGCTCATGCTCATATAGCAGTCTACCTGTATGTGTATGTCTGTGCCCGAATTTAATCTCTTTTTTGTTGTTGTTATTAATCCTCACTCAAGGATATTTTTTCTGTTGATTTTTAGAGAGAGTGGAAGAGAGGGATGGGGGGAGAGAGTGAGAGAGAGAGAGAAACATCGATTGGTTGCCTCCTGCATGCGCCCTGACTGGGGCCAGGGACTGAACCTGCAACCCAGGTACATGCTCTAGACCGGAAATCGAACCTGTGACCCTTCTGTGCATGAGCCGACACTGAACAACACAGGCCAGGGTCAAATTTCCCTTTTTTTATAAGGACATGAGTGATACTGGATTAGGGCCACCCTAACGACATCATCTTAACTAGTTACATCTGCTACGAAATGAGCATTTCTTTATTCATGCAGTAAGCATTTAAGCTACCAAAGGGGGACCAGACAGGGCACTATAAATAAACTCATACATTTAAATAGCTGAGCCAGCTGCACTGTGCTCAGCACTTAACACTGCTCTCGACAGATCCCATGCGCAGCCCCTCTCGTCAATCAAAATACAGGTGTGGGGGCTGAGCTGAGCCTTACTTGTTCTCTGGTTGCAGGTGGAGTCATCCCCAGGGGTCCCGTTGGCATTCCATGCGTAGGCCTTGATGGTGTAGAGAGTCCCGGCGTCTAAACTGGTGAATGTCAAGGTGGTGTCTGTGGTGTTCTCCTTCCATATTCTCCCCAAGCCATTGGCACGCATAATGGACACGGAGAATCCGGTGGCCATGTACACAGCTCCCCAGTGCACGAGAATCGAGTCTGGACTTGGAGAGCTCACTTCTAGAATCGGGGCAGCCAGCACTGCAAAGACAGAGACACGTGTGTTTGTGTTACAGAGGTCTGGTCGAGGAGAATTCGTATCTAGGAATATGTATTCCGAGGTTGGTGATCCATGTCATGAAATAACGATTTGCTTTGCAAAAGTATCCATGCAGAGTTTCATGAAGAATTGCTATTTAAAAAAAAAAAAAATTGCTATTTTAATAAAAACATAAGAATTACTATTTCAGTGTGTGTTGATTATAAATAGTTCATCACAGGAATTCTAGGCATTACTATAAACCGGAGGATGGTGAGAAATTAGATAAATCATCCCTGGAATCATCATATGAGTCAGTGCGGGACATGATGGTCTGTACTGTTTTATTACACAGAACCTCTCAGAAATGTGCCTGGGTACAACTTTATCGAATCCATTTAAATTACACTGATGACAAACTCCAAATGTGTTTATTCCAAACAAGTCAAAGTGCAGCAAAACCCCCTCAGCATTCTTTATTCAGCATGGTCTTGATGGGTAACTGAGGTCAAAAACAGAAAAATCCCTTTTCCAGAGATTTACAAGCAGGGAGAATTCTAAAGATGCCCAGGGATGGTTATTTTCCAAAGCATCTAAATGCCACCTTCTCCGAAGATAACCAGATTCCCCAAAGACATCATTTGGTGGCTTTTACACCTGGGCCCTGAGTCATAGGCACCCACGTGACCCAAAATGACATCATGCAATTGCAGCCTCAGTGTAACCGATCCAGATCACAAACCCTGGCTCCATGGAGGGTGGGCATCCAGCTACCTGTCTTTGCCTGCTTTGGAGGGGATGCCTGGCTTCTCCCAGCAGCACTGATGGATCTGACGGTGATCTGGTACGAGGTGGCAGCCTTCAGGCCCGTCACAGTGCCTGGGGAGTTGGCCACCGTGGTTTCAATGACGGTGTCCCCATCTTTGGCTGTGAGGAGGTAACTGGTGGCCCCGGGCACGGTAGCCCATTCCACAGTGATACTGTTGCTGATTTTGGAGTATGCCTGATCAATAGTGGGTATTTCAGGAGCTGAAAGAGACGGTGAAGTTGTACATTAGCTACAACACCTGTAAGAATTACTTCCTTCAGCATTTTACTTGGCAAACGACATCATTTTCACGCCATCCTTCAGACATTGTCTCTGCCCTTCCTTTCCAGATTTAAAAAACAAAACAAGAGAGAAAAAGAAAGGCAAAGCTACCTTCCAGAAGAGAACCTTTCATATTATTAGAATGGGACCATTTTCAGATTGTTCTGTATAAAATAAAAACCGGCTTTATTCCCCCTTTCTCTGTCAAAATGTCTGCCTCAGCATAAACCGGGCTGCTCCGGTCCCTGCTCACCTGGGCCCGGCCACAGTTTGCCAGGAAGATACGAATGTTTATGTCACAAGCTCATACTAGACTTTCCTAGACTTTCGGCATCGGGTGGGAGGCACAGCATGGTGATCAGATTCGTTGCTTTGCAAAAATCCCACAGACACAAAAATGCTCCGGATGTAGACCCAAGAGCAAGAAAAGGTCAAGCAAAAATAGCTGGGTCTCAGGTTTGAAACTGGCACCTGGCCTTTTCGGTTTAGGGGTAACATCACTACATGCCAAACTCAAAACTAAAGGGCAATGCGTTGACTATAGGGCAAAGAGGAGGAAGCGTCATCACAGACCAAATGTGTGACTTGCCAGTACCACCCCCTCCCCCCTGCAGCCCCCTCCTGCCAAATCCCCATGTGCGCCATACAGACACCCTTCTCTTTCTGCACCAATAGCCCAGAGGGTTGGCTTTGGCAGCGTCTCAGACAGAGCCATGCCGCAAGAATGAACAAAGTCTCCACTGTGCACTGGCCAGGCATTCCTTGAACGTGACCCAGAGTGTCTCCTTAGCCATCGGAAGGAAACGATGACAGTTCTGTATGCTGGGGGAGGTGGCAGGCCTGCCCATCCCAGCCATTTGCCAGCAGAAACTGACTCTGCAGAGTAGAAAGCCTCAACAGGGGCTCCCCGTTTCATCCCTCCCACTCACCCACCCCTTTCCCGCTCCTCAAGTTATTCGTCCTGTGCAGTATGCTATGTCTCTCAGCTCCTTCTGTTTCCTTTGTCCCCATAGTTTATCTCCCATGTCAACCAGTCTTGCTCAACAGGATGGAATAACTTCCTGGGAAAGTGACAACCAAACCAGCCACTGACACAGGAGGCCTGACGGTGCATTTGCGGAGCAGCTGGAGAGGAATATAAAAGACCAGCAGGTCACAGATGACTTCCCTGCAGGCCTGTCAAGGGGCCTGAAGACTCCCCCAGACTTGCCCTGTTGAATCGAGCCGGGAGAGGCACATTTGCCTGGAAGGAGTCATACACGAAGCCGGTTTCAGCAGGATGAAGCTCAGGGCCTGCTGGTGAAAAACAGCAAAGGGTTTGGACTCAGGAACTCTGGGTGGGAGCCATTTACTTTTGCTTGTGAACATGTACGAGTCATTTAACTTCTTCTAGTCTCCGTTTTCTCCCTGGAGAATGTCCAACGTTAATACCTACGTATTAAAATTTACATTGAAATGCAAAATGCCTACATCTCAGGACTGTTGTACAGATGAAGTGAAATAGTGTATACAAGCCCAGCCGGTGTGGCTCAGTGACTGAGCTTCAACCCGTGAACGAAGAGGTCACCGGTTTGATTCCAGGTCCGGGCCCATGTGGGCTCGATCCCTGGCAGGGGGCATGTGAGAGGCAGGCAATCGATGTTTCTCATCGATGCTTTGCTACCTTTCTCCCTTCCCCTTTCTCCCTAAAAATAAAAATTAAAAAAAGGGGTGTATGTAAGGGGACTTTGAAAGGTAGGAAGGGCCAGTGTGTGCGTGTGTGTGTGTGTGTGTGTGTGTGTGTGTGTGTGTGCGCGCCAGGACCAGCAAGTCTTGGGTTCGGAAAAGCCAGCTTGCATGGCACTGCCATGGAGGGGTGCCAGGGAAGGCGAGATTCTGGGGAGTCTGGGGCCAGCACAGGCTGGAGAGATGGGTTGCCTGCTTTGCCCGTTTGTCACTAGGTTCTAGGGCAGGATCTGAACAGGAACAGCAGTCGGAGGATCCCCACGCCTGCAGTTTCCCTTAAAGAGAGGGCCAGGCTGAGCGGGTTGGCTGGGCTCCGTGACGAGCAGCTCTTCACGCGGTCTCAGTCCCGCGCTTGGCCCGCTTGCGCACGGAGGAGAGAAAACATTCTCCCTAGAGGTGCGGCCAACCATCCGACGAGTCAGAAGGGAAGCCCTCAGATGCTCAGCACCTGCGCTTTCCACCAGCTGAGGTCTGACCTTGCCCGCAGGGCCCAGCGCCCGACACAGACAGACAGCTGACGCCAGGGCCCGGGAGAATCAAAACACACGCACCCAAGTGGAAGCCTCCACACGGGCGATGGAGCGCATCCACCCACGGAGCCGGGATGAGTCGACGGACAGCGTGGTCAGTATCTCAGGGGCCCCACTTTCTCCAATAGCCAGCTCGTTCCAGGGGCCTCAGGGCATGTGTCCTGGGACCTCCAGGAGGCAGCAGAGCTATCCAAAGGCCACTTATAAAAACCACTCTGTATGTGGCTGGACAGGCCTCATAGTTTTCTGCTCAATTCTAAAGGCTTCTCGAGAATAAGTAAGAATAAAACATGAAATGATTTTTTAAGAAACTATTGTATACGCATGCATTTTATGGCTCAGCCATGTTTAATATCAAATTTGAAATTGCCTTATCTATACATTCTTTACGAGGGTATAGATAAAATAATAAACTAAAATTGTTCATATGTTCAATTGGTATGAGAGTTTACTGGTGATATAATTGATATTATAAGGTCCCTCCAGATCATCTTAATCCCATTGAATACATATTTCCATTCTGGGGGGGCTGAGATTTCTAGAATGTATGAGTTAGGAGAGGCCTTTAGGGAAATTATCTGTGCCTTCAGTCATTTATTCAAGAAAAATGGTAATAAAATTGTGTTGTTGTTTTTTTTAACGCCCTTTTCTAGTTCTGCGTTATCATTGTCTACATTTTAACGATGCAATATTACAAGTGTAAAGTAATTTTTTAATTAGAGAATCTTGAGATTTTAATAAAAAACTTTTCTAAGACTTTACCTGTGTTTGCTGAAGCAACCTGAAAAGGAAGATTTAGAAAATTAGAACCATAAAGAAGAACACCATCTGGGGAAATGTGAAAACATCAATCAGGGGGGTAATAAATTCATCACATTTTCACACATCATGTGAGCAGTCTTTCAGTCTACACAGTGTTTATTGCACAGATCATTGCTCCACACGCGAATCTACCACGGAGCAATCCCAGCTAGAATTCAGAGGCAGGAGGCAGCTCACGTTACTATTTCATTTTTCTCTCTGAATCTGCCTGTTGAACGAAGTCAGTAGCTGCTGACAGATTTCTCAGAAATCTTTGTTCTTAAACTATAATGATAATTTTGTTTTCTTCCTCTAGTAAATTGCGTCACATTTCAAACATGCAAACATACGCAATCTTGGTATGGTCCAAAGTATTTTAATTTCTATCTCCTCACCTCCTAGGCCCTAATGTCTTCTCCCCCCCCCC